TGAGTTTAGATAACTTATTACATTTAGTTGGATTCTGAGAGACATTGCACCATTTTTTTACAATCGCTCATCACTCGGTTTTGGTTTATAGGCTAGCGCGGAGGTTGTGCCACTTGCTGTCTGTGTGAATTTGAAAAGCTCGTTCTAATGTGGAGCGGGATCAGTAGATGCTATGAGCAACGCTCGAGACAATGTACTCAATAGTGACACTCACGCTTTCTTTTATTCTACCTTTTTATCCGAAACCGCTTCTCCCGGACTGTTAGCAACTGTGCTGTCCTCCACAACCCTTCCATTACGACTGGAGCGTGGAAACTGTTGCACAAAAATGAAGGAGGTGCACAAGGACCGTACTCCAGTTGCCAGCAGTCTTCCACAACTTCAAGAAGTAAGACTAAAGCCTCTAAGACGAGGTGGGGTGGGCAGATCTATCTGTACTCAAATTGAGGGACTGTGGATCGTGAAACTACACGATGAAGAAGCTGTACAGAGTCGATATCGATACACAGCAACATCGAAACTCGAAGGGAACAGATGATCGGAGTCAAGCACACTGCACATTGCAAAAAGTCAAACCAACGCATGACTTGCTCTCAGCTCAGCATATCCTAGAAGCAGGTTCTTCTCCTGTTTTCTAGACTAACATGTGCTTACAGAGCAAGGGTTCATGACGGAAGGACCTAAGGACCGAGATGCCTTGCGCCGCCTTGCATGTCGTAGGGATGAGTTCAGTAAGCCGTCGGAACACTGCAAAAAGCTCATAACTTCATGGGTAAGTACACTTGCCTCACGCCTTCTGAGCAATAATATAGCCCAACCTCGAAAAATGTGGTAGAACATCCCTTTAAGAAGACAAGGTGGTGGGGTTACTAACAGGGTGACAGCGCAGAATTGTCAGCGATACTCCTCTCAAGCTTTCGCAGAAGTAACAGCAGTTTAATTAAAAGTTTAAAGCTCGATTTGATCAGCTAGAATAGCTACCACAAGAATGAATGCATGGCCACCATTTTGAGCTTGTGCTATCGCGGTAAAAACACGGAGTGGAGAATGGTGGCGCAAACGCGAGCGAGTACATATTTCTCCCACACTTCATTTACAATTAAGTTTCTCTCAGGATTTTTCATTGTTATTGCTTTCCGTAGGATACCGTCACAAGAAGTCTTCCGTTTCTGTCTAATCACAACTGCTGATTTTCCCACAGAATGTTTTACATAGAATACTACTTTCCCATAGAATGCGTTTTCATGTTTTTATCCCCACAAAATACACCGTAGGTGACCTACAAAATAGAAGTTCACTGTTGGTACCCATTTCGTCCAGCTAGTGCAAAGGATCACTCCAAAGTGGTGTTCAGCTCTTAATTTCTCCAATGAGGCGGCGGCTGTGTAGTGGCATATGGCCCGCTTACGTTGCATACGGCTTACCTACGCACGTCAAGTCTCGGATCAGCCTCTGTCCTGGCCAACCAACCCCTCTGTTCTTCAGAGGCGATAAACTGGTACCAGATTCGCCTGGGAGGACAAGATCACTGACTCGTACATTGGCTAACCCCTGCAAGTCACATCGAGTTCAATATGCCACTAAGAATCTCAATGGGGAAAAGGATGCGCGCCGCATATTGATCAAAGCAAGACGAAGACTACATCCTGGATCCTATGTCTTCAACGATTTTGTGAGATCATTAAATGTTGTAAAATTTTCATGCTATCATTGTTAGGTTCAACTATTATAGTTCTTTGTTTACACCTTGGACTATAATTCCATGTTGCACGTTTCAGGTTCTATCGACATTCAGGCACGTGATAGCCAGCTACACAATATCAGCGCAAAACTGCAGAGAACTTTTCGCCGGTCTTTCGCTCATTTCGATATACGTGCAGAAAGATGGCGACCAGTCAACCGCCCAGAAGGCAAGCTCGTCCGAGCAGGAGCAGGAATTGGAAAGGGGAGGGAAGCGGGGCAAAGGGGCATGGACTGCTACAGCATGGCAGGCGAAGTGGGGCCCCACTGACATTATGGGTAACTCCACTTGAGCCGACCAAGACTGTTAACGTTTAGTAGAACGTTTCAGCTTCCTCGCCTACGTCAGGGCCTGAAAGAGTCCGTACAAGTCCTATGGCTTTAAACAGCCATAACAAGCTTCATGCAGAGCCATTCGTAAAAAGAAAACAGTGCAGGAAGCATGACTTTCCAGCAGAACTTTCATTTTTTCCCTAGGCCTGCTATTCGAAAAAATTTCCCCGTTGTGATCACTTCGTGATCACTGCCCCACGACACGAAAAAATCAACCCCTCCGACGCCATAAAACCTCCAGTTGGCTTGAAGACTTTGGTGTGCTTCTAAAAAATATGTTTTTGCCAAGGAATCAGGAAAATCTGGTACCATCTTATCCGTCCCCGGAGGAAAGAAGGCTTGGTTGGCCTAGGCGAGAGTCGACCCGGGATTTGAACCCGGCATCGCGCGAGTGGTAAGCGCGCCACTTGTCACTACACCACCTCCGCGCCAATGAATATCCGCCATGAACTAATAAACAGATGAAAATACACTTCCGGACCTTTCTATCGCAGAAGCACATCTACTTGCACGGAGGAAGCCCTTTCTAGAAGTTGCACCTTCCCAATAGCTCTGCGTGAAAGCGCATTGCAGAGGTGATGCCAATTGGCGCCCAATGAACTATTTCCTGATATCCTTGGCAAAAACATGCGTTTTAGAAGCATACCAAAGTCTTCAAGCCAACTGGAGGTTTTATGGCGTCGGAGGGGTTGATTTTTCGTGTCGTGGGGCAGTGATCACGAAGTGATCACAACGGGGAATTTTTTCGAATAGCAGGCCTAGGGAAAAAATGAAAGTTCTGCTGGAAAGTCATGCTTCCTGCACTGCTTTCTTTTTACGAATGGCTCTGCATGAAGCTTGTTATGGCTGTTCAAAGCCATAGGACTTGTGGATGACCCCCTAGGATCACGGGAGGATCAAACGGAGAAAATTTCTAGAAAAGGAATGTTTCTGAAATCGCTCAAACTCAGGTAACAAGAGCCAACCTAGTGCTCTACATTACTGCTTTCCCTCTCCAAAAGCTCTACTCTCAAAGAAGTTATGGGTGTTCAAGCGAGGGGTACTTTTCGAGTGTTTGGCTTGAAATTGGCTCCAGGTCGTAAAATAGCGCGCTCCAATACGCTTGTATTAGCGCGCTCGCCGGCGCGCTAATACAGCGCGACCGCGAACAATTAATATTCAAAAGCTAATCCATAATTCTAGTTCCTAGTACTTCTGGTGACCTTTTTGTCGTTTGTTTGGTATTTTAGGTTTCTTTCTTGTTTTCTAGTGGTCTTCTAGGTTGTATTGTTGTAATGGCACTATCGAACTATAGTACCCCAGTCTGTCGAAATCAGGACGATTTTTTATCGATTCTTTTTCTATAGGGGCAGATTTGGATGGAAATTCTGTTACTGTGGTATCTCGACCTCCTCAACACGAATATCTCACCCACTTTGCCCAAAACTTTCCATCGATTTTGGTGATTTAGGATAGTTTTTGATTTAGGCCACACAGAGCGGCCCGGGCAAAAAAAGCCTAAATCACAAAATTACGTGAAAACTTCTATATGGGAGTTATTTGACATCCTCTTTACGTTTATCTTTCCTTTTTCTCAGTTTCAGCCTTAGCAGAGCGCCAATTAGAATTGATATGGAGAAATGATGTCGCCGATAGACAAAGTTTCAGCATAAGTTTTTTTTGAGGAGTTTGGCGTAGGAATAGTTCAATAGCGCCCAGTTCTCTTCACTGTCAACATCGTCGCTTTTGCGCTTATTTTCATGTTGTACCCTCGTGACAGGGGGGGGGTCGTATTAAGACCCTTATTTGGGGGGAGGGTCGTATTTAGCGGGAAATGATCACAACGCGATGGCGTGCCCTGTCCACAACCAATGTGAACGGGGCACGCCATCGCGATGTCGGATGGCGTGTCCAATGACATCATGGGATTGTTCCTTAGCCCAGCAGGCTTATGAAGATCCACGTTTGTTGGCACGAGCTGGTGTTCATAGTTTTGTTCGTCTTTCTGTTCTCTCAACCTTCGTCTCTATCCTCCTCCCCGGTGTTGAAACAAAAACCCACAATTATAGACTCTTTTTGTACTATTGCTTAGCGATTCACCAAAGAGTAGCTCTGCTAAAAAGGAGAAGAAAATGATTGGCAGAGCACTGCACAACAACGAAGGAAGACGTTCACCATCTGAAAATAAGGGTTCATTCTATTAGGTTGACGAATAAGATCGCAGTATTTTCCTCGAAGGGTTTATTTTAAGAATTTGCACTTTGTATGACAACCGGTTTGTATTTATTAGAAAAAGCATTTCTGCTCAACAAAACTGTATAACCTGACTTTAGAGAAATATAGTTATTCTTTTTTCAAGTTCAGATGAAGCAGATAGATTCAGGAGACGGAAATCAGCATTTTCCACACCTGCTATTCTTCACGATTGACAAGACTCAAAAGGCAGAACCAGCCTGTGTTACAAGCCTGCACAACAAGACCGACGGGACGAACAGCATCATCTGTATCTTGCTGAGAGAGCTCTTCTTGGACGAAGCTTTGTTTAGCTCGTTTTCCTGCGCCACTCCACACATGCCGTAATACACAAACTGTCCCCTTAAATGAATCTGGATGTTCCCTGAACGAATAATC